CACCATGGAACTCGCTGGGTTTCTCACAAGACAGACTGGGTCGGATCTCCCTGCCCCCAAGGAGCCTGGTTAGCTCCTGAATCCAAAGATGCCCTTGATGTAGCCAGTGAGGCCGCTCTTGGTCTTCTGCTCCAACTTGTCCTCCAGGGGCGGGAAGGCCACGTGGTTGAGGGCCAGGTCGAAGAACAGAGGCTTGCACGGGATGGGCTGGAAGCCGGGGGGGAAGTGCACGAGGTTGGCCTGCTTGGTGACGAGGGAAGGGTCCAGGCAGAATGTCTCAAACCGTTCAACCAGAGGCTGGAAGGCAAGTCAAAGGGAGGGATCGGGGTGAACCACAGACCAGCAGAGGGACTCAATGTGTGGAGCACCCAGTTCAGGGCCTATCGGTGCGACCTCACTTGGTCCCCACTCACCTCCTGTGCCCCCATTTAAATAGCCGAGGTTAGAGAGGGGCAGGCTGGGACTGGGGTGCATATGGGCCTGCCAGACGCGCAGGTGGGGAGTGGGAGCAGGGCGTGCCACAGCCTCGGCGGCTGGTGTTAGGAGCCCGCAGAGGCAGCGCAGGGTCCTGCCCTCCGCCCTGTCGTGCCCACCGTGGCCGTGTTCATTGTGCTGCCCCGACCCCCTTTTTAGCAGGTGGTTTTGTTCACCTCCGTGAACTGCAGCTCTGAGTCCTCACGCGGCCTGTGGTCGAGTGACCCCTCGCCACCACTTGGAAAAGAGCCACCTCCTTTATATGAGGCTGGACTTTGCCAGGCATCTTCAGCGAGCTCTGTGTGACCCGGGGACTGGAGGGGGCGAGGGGTCGTCCCCCATAAGAGGCGCATCTGACTGATTTCCTTCCCTCCACTGCTGCCCACATCCACTCGCCCCTGAGCCCTGTCCTGGCTCTGCCCCGGGCCCCGTGGGAGAGCCCTGCCCAGCTAGGCCTGAATCCGGAGAAGTCCCTCCTCTTCCTCGCCACAGACAGTCTGAGCCCAGGGCCCGGTGAGTGGGGGCTGCTGGGCCCTGCGTTGGTGAGGAGACCCTTCCATTCACGTGGGTTTCTCCCCCTCTAATGGACCCCGGCCCCTCCTGCCTCCTGGGGCAGAGCGCAGCCCGGGCTGAACAACGGCACGAGGGCAGCAGGTGGAGTCCAATGCGCCGCCCTCGTTTGCTTTCCCATTTCCTGGCAATAAAGACTAATTAGCAATTAGTCTATGAAGACTGTTATTAGTATTTTTCTTTCTTTCTGTTTGTTCATTTTATAAACCTTTTCCTTCCTGGGACCAGTGAACGGGCTCAGTGCGACTTACCCACAGCTCTCCCTCCCGGAGCCCGAGTAGCTCTCGGCTGCCACGCCTGCTGTTGACCTGGGGGGCGGGGGGCGGGGGGCGGTTAGCTAGCCGCCTCCATCAGACCTGAGCTGCACGGTGGCCGCAGTCCCCAGACCTAGCTATTAAGGCCCCCCCCGTCCCCCCTGTAATTCAAGGTGGCAGAGTGACCCGGGGCCCCTGCTTGCTCACTGAGTGGGCTGTGCCTGCAGCTGCAGCACAGGGAGCTGGGCCGTCACGGTTGCCCAAGACTAGGGAAAGGGACCCGTTCCCAGGGAGGGACAGGTACGAGGGGCGGCCTGGCCTCGAGGACTCCTGAGGTCCCTCTGCTCTCTGTCCTGCCACCGAGGACGGGAGCCCTGTGCTCTCAGCACAGGCAGTTTGCTGGCTTGTTTGTTTGAGTTGCTTCCTGTAAAAGGCACGAGTGGGAGAGCCAGCACCTTTCCTGCTGCTTCCGCTCTGAGGCAGCCGCGGTCACGTCTCCAGGCCCCGTCAGCACTTCTTTCATCAGACCCGCCGGGCAGACTGGCAGCCAAGAGAGGCCCCTCCTGCCCGCCCTGTGGATCCCTGGGGCTGCGCCCCTCCTTCCCTGGGGCAGCTGCCCACTGAAGGCGGCTCATCTCCTGACCCCCCTCCCCACAGCCCTGTCCTCTCGTCCAGCTGGTGGAGGGACCTTTGTCCTCGGGAGCCAAGGAGGGCCGGGCAGGAGGTGGTCAGCCAGCTGGGCTCCAAGGGTCTGGTGGCTGAGCTCTAGTACAAACAGGGCAATTTCCTGAGATGGCGAAGCTTGTCCCGACCAGGGAGCCCCGGGGACTGGCAGATGGGGCTCCCAGGGCAGAGGCAGCCATCGCCACATCCTGCTTCAGCAGGGAGGGTCCCT